CTTCCCCTCCATCCTCTCTAGTGCCTCGTATTTTTTGCCCTGAATCATCCATATGAATTACTGCTGGTGCCCTGAAATTTCAGGATGGCCAGAAAATTCTGCCCTGAAGAATCAGGGCATTTCAGAGATTTTTCAAAAGTTACCCTGAGGGCTCAGGGTGCCCAAAATCCTAGCACAGGCCCTGGCAGGAAACTATTGGACCGTTTTGAGTCGCACATATAGGACTCTTGCTAGGTCACTTACTATGTTATGAGTTGTAAAAGAGAGTGCGCAGGTAAAACGAATAACGGAGCTGTGACTCAATCAACTGCGAATACAATGAATGCCCAAACTAATATAGAACTACGCTAGCTAGGAGAGAACCTCGGGCAAACGAGGTTGGGTGCAGGTTTGGCGATGAGAAAGCCGAAGGCGACGCGAGGAGCCTCGGCAGCGTTGAAATCGGCCGAACGTGCGAACTCCGAAAATCGGGTTGTACGCGAAGCAGTCAACCCCGATAAGGAATTCGGGAAAATTCCTTACATACTAGGTCTACACGATTCGACGTGCCGACTCTTTGTCCACGATGCTCCTATCAACGTACTGTACCACGATTTGGAGTGAGGTGACGTGAGGTGAGGTGAGGGCATTGGTTTGGCAGGCGTGTTCTATCGGTGAGCAGAGCTAGAAAGAATGAACATCATGAGCCCCACCACTACAGCTCCTATCTTGTTTGCCAAGCCGTGACCTGCCAAACTCTCCTTTTGTCAGACGATACGATTTTAAATCTGCACGCCGCCGCTTATATCATAATGCGGCGTTTTCCCAGGCGTGCCGCCGCACGCCGCTGCAGTAACGCCGGAGCTTGCGTTCTCCTCCTCGCAGCCCTTACGATCACTATCGGCGCTGCTGCTTGCTCCCTTTCCAGCGTTAGTACTAGTACTACTACTAATCGCCCACCGCCGCGGCGGCGAGATGTCCCACAGCGGCTTCCGTCCAGACAACGCCTGCTGTCTCGCGCTCAGCCCAGCCGTGCCCAACGCTCTCTTTTGAAGCTCGCCGCTACCGGCAGCGCTGCCGCGGCCGACGCGAGCGTTGGAATCGTTCTCGAAAGCTCGCAATGTGAGTCGGTTGTCCAGAAGTCAGAGGCTCTCAGCGAGCTTCCTCACGCGATATCATCCTCCCATTTCGATTGGTGGTCCAGAATCCGCACTCAGAGTTGACTTTTGTGAGTCGACTCAAAAGTCAACTCGATTGGTGGTCCAGAATCCGCACTCAGAGTTGACTTTTGAGTCGACTCAAAAGTCAACTCGATTGGTGGTCCAGAATCCGCACTCAGAGCTCCACTTCTCATGAGCAGAGAGAGTATAACACCTCGCTAAACCACTGGGTCAAGACGAGGGTGTTATTTTGGTGCAGCGGAATGCCCTTAACACTAGCCACACTAGCCCGGCCCACTCGCGTTACAGAGAGAATCCGACGTCAAAGTGCGGGCCGCCCTTCAAAGTGCGACGTCACACCGACCCAGCCCAGGCGCACGTGCCGGCACTGAGGTAGATGTGCTGTCAAAGGCCCCCGGCTTTTTTTCGCTACAGTTAATGTGCTCCCATTTCAACGTTGTGAAGGCACTGCTGCAGCTGAAGGCGGCGTGGGGCGTGTGGGCGGGAAACAGCAACGCCACCACGACGTGCTCCCCCCCCCTCTTCCCCTCCCTCCTCTCCCCTCCCGATTGCATTCTCTGTACCGGCAGTGAAGGTGCTGCTGCAGCTGAATGCAGCGTGGGGCATTTGGCCGAACAACAGCAACGCCACCACGGCGTGCTCTGCATGGGAGGGCGTCACATGCAGCCCCAAAGGGCTCCTCACCGCCCTGTGAGGATCGTTCCGCCACTCGCTGTTCTCGTTACACTAGACTTCCGCTCGGTGCTGTGTGTCTCCCTTTATTAACATGTCCTAATTGGCCTCGTTGCTGTAATTGCCTCCCAGTTAGGCCGTGGTCTATGTCACGGGCGTTGTATTGGTATCCGTAGCCAAGGGTTCGAATCCAGCTAGCCACGTTTTTCGCCTGAAAATGTGGTGGAGCGAATATTCGACTGTGGTAACCCAACTCCGAGGTTCCTGGGAAGCGATCCCCTGATCCGACGAGGACGTTTGACTCCAGGGCAGCACGGGTGTCATGCCTCCAGTCTTACACCAACGGGTTAGGGGAATGTTGTAGCGCTGAATAACCCTCGTTTTGGCCAACCTAGTCTAAGGCACGGGCGTTTATGCCCCCTCAGTACTCCGTCGTTACTCCTCATTGGCCCCCTCTGTCCTCCTTTCCCCCACAGTGTTTCACTGTATCGCGCCTTCCGCTGTCTGCTCCTCTCGATTGTGTTGGATTGTGTGTGTGTGGGAGCATTGCAATCCGGACAAAGGGGGGGATGGGTTGAAGGATGTGGGGGGTGGGATGGGGGAGGACTGGATATTTGGGGAAGGAAACTGGGGTGGGCGGGAGATGGGGGAGGAATGGGAGCTGGTTGGTATTGCGTGTGTTCATGCATTTGTGTGTTGGCAGGGATTCAAAGCTAATATGGCCTAATTGGGAATTTTACAGTTACTCCATACCTGCCTCCATCACCGGTCTTTCCACTCTGCAACTCCTGTGCGTCACCACCACCCACCCACCCACCCACCCCTCTCTCTCTCCACTACAGTCTACATCCATCTTGCATTGCATCTACCATTCCTTTCTGTCATTTGCCTTGGCCTCGCCCCAACCTCGTACTGCTCTGCCAATCTCGTTTTTCGCATTCACATGCCACAACCCTACTGACCATACCCTCTTCCTGCCCTTGCATGCCTTCCTTGCATGCCTCTCTTGCATGGCTCCCTTGCATGCCTCCCTTGGATGCCTCCCTTGCATGCCTCCCTTGTATGCCTCCCTTGCATGCCTCCCTTGGATGCCTCCTTTGCATGCCTCCCTTGCATGCCTCCCTTGCATTCCTCCCTTGCATGCCTCGCTTGCATGCCTCCCTTGCATGCCTCCCTTGCATGCCTCCCTTGAATGCCTCCCTTGCATGCCTCCCTTGCATGCCTCGCTTGCATGCCTCCCTTGCATGCCTCCCTTGCATGCCTCCCTTGCATGCCTAGCCGGACCACAAGCTGCATGCATGCCTTCATTGCAAGAGATAACTCCATTTTATCCTCCTCTTGCCATCTCCACTGTTGTTCGCGCTCCCATCCCATCCCGCAGTGATCTGACCAACGTCAATCTGTTCGGGCCCCTTCCATCCCTTGCCAGTCTCACTGGCCTCACGCACCTGTGAGTATTGCTCTTCCGTGGCTCCAAACCAGGTCAACTGAATGTTGGACTAGGCCCTGACTTTTGAGTCGACTCAAAAGTCACCTGTGAGTGCTGCTCTTCTATTGTTCCATACCAGGTCAACTGAATGTTGGACCCTGCCCTGCCTATCCAATGTGCCCCTCCAGCACCCTCCTTCACTCCTCTGCACCCCCTGATCCTGCTCTTTCCAGCTTAATTGATTGTATCTCCCGCAAATTTTCAAGACTGGAGTCATTTCCCTTCCCTTCCACAACTACCATTTTCCTTTCTGACCCTTTTCCCACGTCGCTCATTACCAATCGCTTGTACAAGTACTTTTGAGTCGACTCAAAAGTCGTACTCGTCAAGTCCTCGTTTATTCCAAATAATAAAATCCTTATTTCCCCTGAACCCTAAACCCTGCATCCCCATGGCTGCCCCATGTGGTCCCATTTCCCACTAACTGCACTGTACTACCACGTGCACCCTTCATATCCACTGTTGCTGCTTGCATGCCCCATGTGCACTGTTGCTGCTTGCATACCCCATGTGCACTGTTGCTGCTTGCATGCCCCATGTGCACTGTTGCTGCTTGCATGCCCCATGTGCACTGTTGCTGCTTGCATGCCCCATGTGCACTGTTGCTGCTTGCATGCCCCATGTGCACGCAGAGCTATTTTTATGGATGGTGACATCAGTCACGCTGGCACTCTGGACGGACTGGCCTGGCTCTCCTCCCTCACCAACCTGCAAACACTGTTCGCCTTACAAGCCAATGTTTATTCCTGCGAGCAATTTAATGTCACTGTCACTCTTCTTCCGCTTTGTCATCCATCCTTGCTGTCTTAGTTTAGCAATTGCCTTTAGCTGACGTGAGGCAAAAGATGTGGCTGGAGAAGTTTCTGAATTTTCAGTTACATGTTGTTCAAAACAGGAGATTCGACTCAAACAAAACATTTTATGCAATTAAAAAGGAGTCGGGAGCCTCGTGTAATGCGTCTGCCGCATTTAGCCACGTACCGTATGGCGGAACCGGATTCACTAACCAACCCTGAAACTAAAACTGACCTGTTGCGTTTGTACCAAACATGGTTCAATTGCGGTTGGACATTTTAGGCACGTGAAAGAAGTAGTGTTTTGAGACGTCTCACGTGGAAATTCAGTTGCGGTTGGACATTTTAGGCTGAGGCAAAGTACTTCTCAACATTTGCCAACTTGTTTTCGGTTTTCTTGTCCTTTTCACGTATGCTTTCCTTAGCTCCTTCACTTTCCGTCCAGCCCCACCGTTCTAACTCACACCATTGTCCAGCAAGCTCACACCATTGTCAAGCAAGCTCACACCCTATGTTCAGAAAGACGCGTCCTGCGTCCTGGACGCATGCGTCCAGACGCATGCGTCCAGACGCAGGACGCTGACCCTTGACCTGTAAGACGCACCAAAAGACGCAAGGCTGGGCAGGGCAAAAAAAACCCCCGGGCAGGCCAAAAAAAGTTGTATAGGGCTTGGGAGAGGGGGGGGGGGGGGGGGGTGTCATACCACAAAATTTTCCCCAACCACAAAATTTTCCCGGGTTTAGCATAAACTTCCCCCAAAATTTGAGATTAAGGTGAGTCACGTGTCACACATTTCACCAGGCCTCACACACACACATTACGTTTAATCCAACCATTTACGACCATGCATACTAAACTACCACTGCACTGCATCAAGTCAACCATCACGCATCCCCATCATCCTCGCTCTCCTTCTCCTCTTCGTCCATCGCTTCCTGGTCCTTGTATTCGTCGACTGCCGGGTCGTCCTCGTCCACCTCCCTCTCCCCGTCCTCCTCCAACTTGTATCCCTTGGGGAGGGGACCTAAAACCTCTATGGGTTTACGAAAGAGATTTGGTGAGGGGAAAATGAAAAGCCACAAAAGGTTGCCATGCTAAATGTGCTTGGTGGTGGTGGGCTACAAAGGTTGGGATTCGTAGATGCTAAGTGGTTGAGAGGTTTGAGTGAAATTCAATTTTGGTTTAGTTGTTAGGGAATGTTAGGGGGGCTGGTTTTGAATGGCGAATTGGGCTTGGGGTGGGGAAATTTCGCGATTTCGAAATTCGCGTCGAAATCGCGAATGCCAAAATCGCGATCGATTTTTTTTTTTCCGGGCTGCCCGAATTTTTTTTCGACGTGCGTCCTGCGTCTGGACGCGCGTCCTGCGTCCTAGCGTCCGGACGCTGCGTCCGGACGCAGGACGCAGCGTCCTAGCTGCGTCTTTCCGAACATATCACACCATTTTCCAACAAGCTCACACCATTGTCCAGCAAGCTCACACCATTGTTCAGCATGCAATGCAGCAGTGCCCACCCCATGCTCCTACGCTACACCACCCCCAATGGCTTCTCTTCTCCTGTGTCGCACTTCTCTCTCTTCAACCAGGTCTCTAGAGTACTTGGCATTTCTCACTGGGGAGTTGTCTTCCCTGCACTTTCTTTCACACCTGAGAAGCCTACGTCAGCTGTGAGCATCATTGCCATACAAGAACGTACGGTACAGTGGTGGCGTGGCTCCTTGCTCCTATTCTTACTCTGCATGTCACCATGTGACTTGGTCCATACCAGCTCGCTTTTGGCAATGGTGTTTCGCTCATTATGGCTGATTGCATGTGCATGAGCGCAGGAAAGTCCGGAGTCTCAGAAACGCCACAGGGGAGTTACCCAGAGAGCTTCAGTACATGACTGCCCTCACTTCACTGTAAGCTCCACTCAAGTCCGATGGGACAGGTGAAACGGATTCGCTCATCTTCGTGCACGAGTAACACATCCCCATCCCCATCCCCATCCCCAGTTCCAACCCCTCGCCGGACATGACTGCAGCTCCATTGGCTTGTCTACGTGACGTGCTCTGCTCTGCTCTTGCTTTCCTCCCTGCTGCAGGGATCTACCCGACCTTCGTTTCGTGGAGTTCCCCATTTGGATCACTCGACTTACCAACCTTCAGTATCTGTGAGCTCCAGGGTTTCGGGTTTAGTTTTCCTCCTACTTCACCCTCCTACTTCGCTCTCCACCATTGTCACACACCACATCCCCCACGAGGCACGGGGAGGATCACATGTGCCAGCCATGGCAAGGCGATGGCTGGGATTGAGGTGCTCTAAGTGCGCACACGCACCATTGTCACACACACGCCACGCCACATCCCCCACGACGCACGGGGAGGACCACACATGCCAGCCATGGCGATGTGATTAGATTGAGGTGCTCTGAGTGCGCCGCATCTTGCTGGCATCTTCTTGTGTGCAGGAACCTGGAGGCAGACTATCCACACCGGCAGGGGCGATTGCTGAATGATGACCTCTCTCAGCTCACAGCACTGACCTTCCTGTGAGTCTACTGTGGCTTTAACTTGGTGCGGATCCTCAGTGTCAGCTTTCTGTTTTCCAGTGTAAGACCTTCATGACTTGGGTTTCCTTCTTACTCATTGCAAGCTAGTTCTGCAAGGGTGTTGGGAAAGCAGTGGACATGTCTAAGCGTGACTCGTTAGAGGTGATATGCATAAGCAGGTTTGTTCATATGGTCCACTCAGACTGTCTCTGATGCCGCAACGCTATCGCAAGAAAATCACTCATAATTCCTACCCTAGTTTCTCATGACTCCCACCAGTTATTACTCTGGCGTCCACCTGTTGCATGCTCTTCAGCTCCCTTTCCGGAAACAACTTGGAAGGATACCTTCCCAATAGCTGGGCCAATCTGGCCCATCTGCAAGAGCTGTGAGTTACTGTTTACCATAACAACTTGCCATCCTGCCATGTTGCCATACTGAGTTTCTCTTTACAGTATTGAACAAGTATCCGATCCAGGCAGGAGCTTTGTTTGCCAAAGCAAATATACTGTGGCGTCTAGGATTGAGCAAGTATCCGAACCAAGCAGGAGTTTTTTTTTCGCCAAAAACAAGCAGAACAGCTCGAAACGAACTTCTACAGCCCTTAACTTAAATTGCTTCTCTAGGAAACCCGCACTGCTCGAGCTGCAAACCTGGAGTTGGACGTGACTCAACTAATTTGTTTTGAAGCTTTCAAATAGTTCAACTTGAGCCAGTACTGGTCTCTTACAGTCTGGATTCTGTAAGTTACAGAAAAAGGCAGCGTTTTTCTTTGCTTAAAGCCTATCCCTGTGGCTCTTTAAACAGCATTTTTTTTTTTTTTTTTTTTTTTTTACAGTGACCTGGGAGGCAACAATTTTGAAGGCACAATTCCGGCAATATTCTCGGCCCTAACAGGCCTGACTAAAATGTAAGTTTCAAGTGTCCTCCCTGCTTCCATTGCCCCACCCTCACTCTGTTTGTCCTTGTCTATATCCCTCGTCCCTTCCTCACTCCGTACACCACTTGTTTTGCCCCCCTCTACTGCAGAGACCTTTCCTATAATCAGCTGTCTGGTACCATCCCCGCATTTGCCACCAGCCTCCAGTCAATGTATGTCATTCTTCCCTCCGGCTCCAGTCAATATATGTCACAAGCCTAGCCCGAGCACATTCTACTTCCCATACCTTCATGATTCAGTACATTTTCGACAATCAGCTTCCCCCCTTCCCTTCATGCATTCCCTGCCGAACCATTTTCTTTTGCCTCGCTGGATCTTCCTGTCTTTGTTTCTGTGCTTGAAGCTCTCAGGATTTTTCTGTTGGAGGTCCAATTTGCATGTTCTCCCAGCCTCTATCCTTGGTGCTTTCAACCAATCATGCAGAGAGAGCCGTGCAAAAAAAAAAAAAATGTAGCTGCAGGAATATCGAACCAACATTTCGATATCCCACATCTGCTGCACCACCAACATTTCAACAACGGCTGCTGCATGGCTTCCTGCCTTATCCTGCCATGCCAAACCAGAACGCGCACCCTGATCCCCCATTCCTGCTGCACCCTGATCCCCCATTCTTGCTGCACCCTGATCCCCCATTCCTGCTGCACCCTGATCCCCCATTCCTGCTGCACCCTGATCCCCCATTCCTGCTGCACCCTGATCCCCCATTCCTGCTGCACCCTGATCCCCATTCCTGCTGCACCCTGATCCCCCATTCCTGCTGCACCCTGATCCCCCATTCCTGCTGCACCCTGATCCCCCATTCCTGCTGCACCCTGATCCCCCATTCCTGCTGCACCCTGATCCCCCATTCCTGCTGCACCCTGATCCCCCATTCCTGCTGCACCCTGATCCCCCATTCCTGCTGCACCCTGATCCCCCATTCCTGCTGCACCCTGATCCCCCATTCCTGCTGCACCCTGATCCCCCATTCCTGCTGCACCCTGATCCCCCATTCCTGCTGCACCCTGATCCCCCATTCCTGCTGCACCCTGATCCCCCATTCCTGCTGCACCCTGATCCCCCATTCCTGCTGCACCCTGATCCCCCATTCCTGCTGCACCCTGATCCCCCATTCCTGCTGCACCCTGATCCCCCATTCCTGCTGCACCCTGATCCCCCATTCCTGCTGCACCCTGATCCCCCATTCCTGCTGCACCCTGATCCCCCATTCCTGCTGCACCCTGATCCCCCATTCCTGCTGCACCCTGATCCCCCATTCCTGCTGCACCCTGATCCCCCATTCCTGCTGCACCCTGATCCCCCATTCCTGCTGCACCCTGATCCCCCATTCCTGCTGCACCCTGATCCCCCATTCCTGCTGCACCCTGATCCCCCATTCCTGCTGCACCCTGATCCCCCATTCCTGCTGCACCCTGATCCCCCATTCCTGCTGCACCCTGATCCCCCATTCCTGCTGCACCCTGATCCCCATTCCTGCTGCACCCTGATCCCCCATTCCTGCTGCACCCTGATCCCCCATTCCTGCTGCACCCTGATCCCCCATTCCTGCTGCACCCTGATCCCCCATTCCTGCTGCACCCTGATCCCCCATTCCTGCTGCACCCTGATCCCCCATTCCTGCTGCACCCTGATCCCCCATTCCTGCTGCACCCTGATCCCCCATTCCTGCTGCACCCTGATCCCCCATTCCTGCTGCACCCTGATCCCCCATTCCTGCTGCACCCTGATCCCCCATTCCTGCTGCACCCTGATCCCCCATTCCTGCTGCACCCTGATCCCCCATTCCTGCTGCACCCTGATCCCCATTCCTGCTGCACCCTGATCCCCCATTCCTGCTGCACCCTGATCCCCCATTCCTGCTGCACCCTGATCCCCCATTCCTGCTGCACCCTGATCCCCCATTCCTGCTGCACCCTGATCCCCCATTCCTGCTGCACCCTGATCCCCCATTCCTGCTGCACCCTGATCCCCCATTCCTGCTGCACCCTGATCCCCCATTCCTGCTGCACCCTGATCCCCCATTCCTGCTGCACCCTGATCCCCCATTCCTGCTGCACCCTGATCCCCCATTCCTGCTGCACCCTGATCCCCCATTCCTGCTGCACCCTGATCCCCCATTCCTGCTGCACCCTGATCCCCCATTCCTGCTGCACCCTGATCCCCCATTCCTGCTGCACCCTGATCCCCCATTCCTGCTGCACCCTGATCCCCCATTCCTGCTGCACCCTGATCCCCCATTCCTGCTGCACCCTGATCCCCCATTCCTGCTGCACCCTGATCCCCCATTCCTGCTGCACCCTGATCCCCCATTCCTGCTGCACCCTGATCCCCCATTCCTGCTGCACCCTGATCCCCCATTCCTGCTGCACCCTGATCCCCCATTCCTGCTGCACCCTGATCCCCCATTCCTGCTGCACCCTGATCCCCCATTCCTGCTGCACCCTGATCCCCCATTCCTGCTGCACCCTGATCCCCCATTCCTGCTGCACCCTGATCCCCCATTCCTGCTGCACCCTGATCCCCCATTCCTGCTGCACCCTGATCCCCCATTCCTGCTGCACCCTGATCCCCCATTCCTGCCGCACCCTGATCCCCCATTCCTGCTGCACCCTGATCCCCCATTCCTGCTGCACCCTGATCCCCCATTCCTGCTGCACCCTGATCCCCCATTCCTGCTGCACCCTGATCCCCCATTCCTGCTGCACCCTGATCCCCCATTCCTGCTGCACCCTGATCCCCCATTCCTGCTGCACCCTGATCCCCCATTCCTGCTGCACCCTGATCCCCCATTCCTGCTGCACCCTGATCCCCCATTCCTGCTGCACCCTGATCCCCCATTCCTGCTGCACCCTGATCCCCCATTCCTGCTGCACCCTGATCCCCCATTCCTGCTGCACCCTGATCCCCCATTCCTGCTGCACCCTGATCCCCCATTCCTGCTGCACCCTGATCCCCCATTCCTGCTGCACCCTGATCCCCCATTCCTGCTGCACCCTGATCCCCCATTCCTGCTGCACCCTGATCCCCCATTCCTGCTGCACCCTGATCCCCCATTCCTGCTGCACCCTGATCCCCCATTCCTGCTGCACCCTGATCCCCCATTCCTGCTGCACCCTGATCCCCCATTCCTGCTGCACCCTGATCCCCCATTCCTGCTGCACCCTGATCCCCCATTCCTGCTGCACCCTGATCCCCCATTCCCGCGGGAAGACTCAAAAGTATTCCTGCTACTTGTTCTTTGATCTCTACATCATTTCCACTTTCACCGCCCCTCTCTTCCTTTCATCCCTCCCACTTCAGTTTTCCATCCCGCCCCTCTTGCCCTGATCCCATCACCAGCTCCTTCAACCCTGCCCCCCCACCTTGCACTCCATCTTCACTTTGTACTTTCAAAACCTTATTCCCCATGGCCTCTTCTCTCCCACCTTTCACTTATCCCTCATGGCCTCGCATCCTTTGCTCCACTCTTCTTCCCCTTTCTCTTGTCGCCTCCTGTCTTGTCTGCCTATTCAGATTCCTCCATTCCAATGCCTTAAGTGGGCCCATCCCACCACACCTACCGGCACTGCCCAACCTCTCTGAATTGTAATGCCCCCCATGTTTGCCCATTTTTACGCACTTTATCTTCAAACCTCCAGACCTATTCACTGCTTGAGCTGTCCTTCCACCTGCACTATCCGTCTAGCCCCATTTCCCTAACCTTGTTTCACTCCCTTTCTAATCTGCAATGGTTCCTGTATATGGTTGCCCCGGCTGCAGACTACTATCCGACAATCAGTTCACAGGAGCCATCCCCAGCAACTTCAATCGCCTCACTTGGATGACTAGTCTGTATGTCTCTACCCAAGCTGCCCTCCCCCCATGTACCTCTCCCTGTCCCCATGACACGAAACTGCTGCATCAACGGAATGTATTGGAGAGGGTCTCACATGTTACTGGTTGTTCTTTGCTGTGCCTCTGAACATAATTGCAACTTTTCCAGCATTATGCTGGTTGCCTATGTGTGTGTGTGTGTGTGTGTGTGTGTGTGTGTGTGTGTGTGTGTGTTTGTGTGTGTCTGTGTGTGTCTGTGTGTGTGTCTGTGTGTGTATGTGTGTGTGTGTGCTATGTGTGTGTGTGTGTGTGTGTGTGTGTGTGTGTGTGTGTGTGTGTTGGCGCGCGCGTGTGCGTGTGCGCGCACGCACGTGCGCGAGCTCCACATGACAGAAACATTTCTTTCAGCAAATTGAGCTCAGGCCTTGACGTGGTGGCTCAGATGACATGGCTCAACGACATGTGAGTGCTCTCCCCTCTTCAGCACATCAGCTGGCCCTGACTCTACTTCCCTTCCCTTCGTCCACTTTGGCTGCCTGCAACGTCTGAGCTAGGACACTCTCCAATACTGGCTATGCAGATCGATCAATGACAACAACTTCTCTGGTGTGCTTCCGGCGTCCTTCTCAGCAATCAGTAATCTCTTCTACCTGTGAGTCTACTCGATCCATCTCTCAACTCATCAATGCACAACCCCTTTCATGAAACCTAATCGGGTGGGTGGGATGCATGCAGCAACAGTAAGCGTTGTGACTGCCCCTGTTGTAAGTTCACCTGAGTATTTGTGTGCCCGTGCTTCTGTTATCAATTCATGTGGCCTTGTATTCCAATTCATGCTGGATGACTGCTTGTTGTGTGCATAAGTGTATGCACTTGTATAATTTCATATCATCTGCTCGTTTTGTTGTACACTTCTGTCTTGGTATATAGCTCAAATAAGCAATATATATATACTTATACATACATATATATATATATATATATATCTTCACAAATATTATCCTGCATTCATGTGCAAGTGCCAGAGCACGTATGCAGTGGCCTGTTCAAGAGCGAATGAATGCGTGCTTCACTATGTATCTGTTTCATCATCTCCCCACCACGCCCTGGGCTTCATTCAGGAATGCTGGAAACAACCATTTCACAGGAACCTTCCCGGATTTTATTCTGCGCCGCAAGGGCCTTCCTTACCTGTAAGACATGCACTAGTGGCCTTGAACAAAAGCACTTGTTGCACTAAAGGAGCAAAAACGCAAGCAAAGTACCGAGCCGAACCGGCTCGCTTTCGTTTGGTTTTTTTCCAGCGGAACTGCACAGAAGAGCCTTTTATTCGTGCATGTAATGCATCCTTGCGTGACCTGAAGCAAAGGTGGGTTGCACTGATGAAGTAACTGCTGCCATTTCTTGCAGTGCTTCCTCCTACCTGAAGCTTGGCCAACAACTCATAAGTCAATCGCAATCAAAATGGTAATGGCAGGAACTTGGGCAACAACAGGTTCACAGGGACTATCCCCCGCGAATTGACCGAGTTTGTCGACCTAGGTCACATGTAAGTTGCACTGCTGCGAACTGTAGTCGAATTGAGGATCCTAGACATGAGCAAATGCCAAAGCGAGTAATTCTTCACTCGTTTTCAGCCGACTCGTTTTGAAAACGAGTCGAGTTGAATATTACTCGTACGAGTAATTTTGCCCCTAGGGCCGACTCATTACTCGTTGGAAAAAACGAGTAATATATTACTCGGTCCGAGTAGTGAATTACTCGTTTTGGATCAAGTAATAGTCGACTCGTTTTTGACAGTATATTTTTGTTTTTTGTTTTTTGTAGGTAATTGTACCCAGGCCGTGTGCTTACAGGGTGTGTGCTTTTTGTTCTTTACATACCTCGGGGGACGTACCTGAGAGGGAAATTAAAGGTCATGAATTATTACGCTAAGGTATGCGCGCGCGGGTTAGAGAGTAGTCTAGACTAAAAGACATTCTAACGGATGTTTTTCCTTGCAGATCGAGTAGGAACTAGATCGATTGAGGCGGAAACTGAACCTTGAGCACAACCGTGTACGCAGATCGAGGGGAAAAGTGATCTGCGAACATGCGAATTGTGATGGCATTTGGAACGGGAAGTGAATCTGCATTCGAAATGTGTTGGCAGATCGAGCGGGAACAGATATGCGAACACAAATTTCACACCCCCCACCCCCTCCCAACCCGACCCCCCCCAACTCCCCCAGGCCCCCTCTTCCAGTTTCGAAATCGAGTAATATGCGAGTAACGAGTACTTGTTTGTTGGCGAGTACTTGTTTACTTCCGAGTACTCGTTTTACCCTAAATTACTCGTTACTCGATTCCGAAAACGAGAACGAGTAAATAGCGAGTACTCAATTAAAAACGAGTTATACTCGACTCGACTAAACGGAGTAATTACTCGGAAACTGCAGACTCGTTACTCGCCCAAAACGAGTTACGAAAACGAGTCGAGGAAATTTCTCGAATCGTTGCTCATGTCTAGAGGATCCGTTTAGCATTGTGCTTGAATATTTGAGGCCACTTTGGCTCTTGATACCATTGTGCAGAATGCTCAATAGCAACAATTTCCATGGAACTTTCCCATGGGGCCTCCTTGAGCTACCCGGTTTATCCTGGCTGTAAGAAGCTCCAATACCCCTGTTTCAGAATATTATTTTTCTTCCACCTTGTCGTTCTCTCAATGAAAGGGTGAAGGTCTGAGGATGCATACAAAACCTGTTAGGACTATCCCTGATATGTCAAATGGTGATTTGCAAGTACTTTGCTCCACTGCCAAGATGCATTCATGTTCGATGAGTCGGTTTGAGTGCCAAGACACATGAATGCATTTGAGTCGACTCAAAAACCGTCTCGCAGAGGCCACGATGCATTCTTGTGCTTTGGTTGGCAGAATGCTTGGTTTTCTAACTGCTGCATCCAGCCTTCCCTTTGATTTCCAAGCACAGGGATGTATCTAACAACTCTCTTTCTGGGGAACTCCCACGTACTCTCAGGGTCCCAACTTTTCTGAACATGCTGTAAGCAGTTGAAGAACTGTGTGCTGCCACCACTGTGTGTGCCTGGTGCAGCACTGTCCCTTCATGGTTAACTTTCATGCCCCTGAAATCTTCGTCTCCTTTTGAGTTGTGCAGAAACCTGGGAGGAAATGACTTCACGGGCTCCTTACCAGACTTCTCACGCTGGAACATCAGCTGTGACGAGATGTAAATATGTCTTCTCACACTCTCTTCCTCCTTTTCCCACTCTAGCTCAATCTTGGCCTTAGCACCACGAGGGTGCAAAATTGTGCCTTTTTATTTCATGGGCGGAAAATCACGTACGACGTTTTCACTTCACCCAAACTTTTTGATTATTTTGGTCTGGAAGAATATTGTATCTTGGTGAAAAACTTTGACTGAAATTTTCAAAAACAAAAAAAAACCAAAACAAAAAACAAAGATATTAATTGTCAAGAGTTGATGGATGCAAATCTTACTTGCATTCCCGCTGCCAGATCTGTGCAGAGCCTGGGTGAAAGCAGGTTTCTGTAACTGACCCGGGGGCTTGCCAGGCTTGACCCGGTCCTTTAAGGCTGAAATCGGGCCAGGTTTTTGGAAACTCCAACCCGGGAAGACTAAACCTGACCCGACCCAGTTCCCGTCTGGCCCGCCCAAACCGGGTCAGGTCGGCTCGGGTCAAATGCCCATTTTTTGCATGTAAAGCATTGCACCCAAAGTAAGCTGTTGCGTTCACACCACTCACGTCAGGCTATCTCGCTGCTGCCTCGCGTGTGTTTGTGGCTCAGAAATCTCAGCGGCAACAACTTCACAGGGTCGATTCCCGACTCCATCTCCACCCTCACCACCCTCGATGGCATGTGAGTGACCACAACAGCCATGATGCCTGCCATGAGCACATACACGTGGAGCTATTTCCATCTGAACAAGGCGGGTTGTCGTGTACAAAAGTCACCGTCGAACCTTTGCAGTGGCACGCAGCCAATGGCAGGAGAAAGGTAGCAGTGGCAGCCTATGCACACGCGCAACTACATATGCTTGATTCGCACTTCTAACCAATATACCCCGTTGCTATTCCCTGATCTGCAGTTTTCTCAACAACAACCAGTTGACTGGCACCATCCCTTCAGCCATCTTCACCATGAGGAAATTGGCATACATGTAAGCCGCATGTGTTTAGGGATCCCCTTTCTAAGTGCCCATCACACGTTCCTACCTCTGCCCAATGGTACTTTCCTTTCTTGCACCAGCCTGCACAACTTCTGCATGCTCTGCTTCTCATCAAAATGTCTCCCTGCCATTGCTGTTGCTCCTCAGCTACTTGGCCAACAACCATCTCACTGGCAGTCTGCCAGCTGCCATCAGCCAACTGAAGAATCTTGAACAGATGTAAGCGTGCCATGTGCTTTCCTCCTCTACTTTTTTCAATTCAAGAACAGTGGCAGCGTAGGAAGCAACACAGGCAGCACATGCACAAGCTTGTAGTACATCGTGACCATAACAGACCTAGCGAGCTTCCACACTAAGAAATGAACACAAGAGACAAATCAGGCAAACATCACCTGTGCCATCCCCACTCCACACTATACCCTGCTCTTTATGCAACCGTTTTTATCCGCCTTCGTTACTGCCAATGCTCTGCCTGTCACCCCAGCTGGTTGGACAACAACAAGATTGAAGGCCCTCTGCCAGCTGGCATTTGCTCGCTGCCCTGGCTGTGGCGCCTGTGAGTACAGTCATACACTTGATCGATTTTTTTTTAGGGGTTTTTTGTCTAAGGACGATTTGTAAGGACATTTTTTGAACTTCTCTCCTGTTTTCATGATTTTGGAGATTTTTAAAATGTGTGAAGACGTTTCACAATTTTGTGTTTGCCTTTCTGTATGGATGTGTGACTCACAGCACGGCATAGTGTGTGCTGTGCTGCTGGCAGCTTCATTAGCAACAACTCCCTCTATGGACCCCTTCCAGACTGCCTCTTTGACAAGTGTATCACACAAATGTGAGCCTACCATGCATACTTTATTCTCGGTACCATCTATGGCAGCTCGCACCCTCAACATGAGCATTGCACAGACATAATTATCTGGTGGGACGGCCTCCAATCAAGCACTCAATATCATCTCCTGCCCTCCGTGATCCCCCTGTACTTCCTGCAGTGATGTGAGCGGCAACAGCCTGTATGGGCGCATCAACCGCGACTTCAAGAACATGGTGACGACCATGGGTGCCCCCGCCCGCGACTTTGAGTACATAGCGGCGGATGACAGTCCCATTGTCAACTTGGCTCACAACTTCTTCTTTGGAGATGGGGTGCTCTTTGCTCTCGGCTGCAAGGTCTGCCCCACTGAGATCAACAAGCCCAACAACCTGGGCATAAGGGACAGCTTTGCATGGCGAGAGCTTGGTGGCAAGTGCAACTTTCTTGCTCCAAATATGCCGGCGAGGGTGAGTCTGTCGGGCAACTGCCTGACCCTCACCCTGAACAACCAGTGCTCATCCAACGCCACCCAGCGCAGCACAGCAGCCTGCCAGGCGTTCTGCAGCATCACGGACAACGGCCCGTGCGACGGCCATGGGGCGTGTGTGCCGGCTGACCCTGCCTCCCCCTCCAACTTCACGTGCCTCTGCGATGCGGGGTACACCACAGTCGACTCGGGCAACGGTTCCTCCACATGTGCCATCGTCCACTCCACCACCAACACCACCACTGGTAACCCTTGCTTCATTTTTTCAAATCCACATTTCATTCCTATGTTCTGCACCAGTAACCACGTTTCATGAGGCTTCTGCTATACACATGTTTATCACCGCCCCATGTCCATTCCTTGGCAGTATCGTCTCTGTCGACGGATGCCATAGTGGGCATTGTTCTGGGCAGCTTTGCTGGCTTCACGCTGTTGGCTTCTGTGGTCGCATGGCTGCTGTGGCCCCGCGGACAGAGTGAGCCCCTCAAACCCTTCAGTTCCATTCCATCTCGCCCATTACTGCACCACTTTCCTGGCTTCCTTCCCGACTCCCCACCTCTCCCAATTTTCGCTCTCCACTGCCCTCATGCTCGCCTCTCCTCTGCCCTCATGCTCGCCTCTACTCTGCCCGCATGCTCGCCTCTCCTCTGCCCGCATGCTCGCCTCTCCTCTGCCCTCATGCTCGCCTCTCCTCTGCCCTCATGCTCCCCTCTCCACTGCCCTCATGCTCGCCTTTCCTCTGCCCTCATGCTCGCCCTCCTCTTCCCTCATGCTCCCCTCTCCACTGCCCTCATGCTCGCTTCTCCTCTGCCCTCATGCTCCCCTCTCCACTGCCCTCATGCTCGCTTCTCCTCTGCCCTCATGCTCCCCTCTCCACTGCCCTCATGCTCGCTTCTCCTCTGCCCTCATGCTCCCCTCTCCACTGCCCTCATGCTCGCTTCTCCTCTGCCCTCATGCTCCCCTCTCCACTGCCCTCATGCTCGCTTCTCCTCTGCCCTCATGCTCCCCTCTCCACTGCCCCCATGCTCGCCTCTGCTCTGCTCTCATGCTCGCCTCTGCTCTGCTCTCATGCTCTGTCCACGCATCTACACCCTTAGTCTCTCACACCTCTGGTCTGAAATTTTTTCTGTGCGCAGAGAAGTGGGAGGGGTTGGACGTGTGTGAGCAGTTCTCGCTGCAGCAGATGCTGAGTGCCACCAGCAACTGGTCGGAGGACAATGTGCTGGGCAAGGGCGGCTTCGGCATTGTCTACAAAGGCCGCTCGCCACAGGGCCAGCTGTGGGCCATCAAGCGCTCCACCATCATGACCAACGACTTTGAAACGGAGGTGATGCATGCCTGTAATCCTTTGTGTACAAAAAGAGGCGTCGTGAGAAAACACCGCACTCTCTGCTTCCCAAAATGCTGACCTGCAAATGGATGTCTTGCCCTTACATGCCAATGTGCATCTGCCTGCTTGTTGCAGGTGCGAGCCATGGCGTCTCTCCACCACACACACCTCGTGCGCCTGCTGGGCTTCTGCCTGGACCAGAACGTGGAGACGGGCAAGCAAGAGCAGATCCTCGTGTACGAGTTTATGGCCAACAGGGACCTCGAGTACCATATTCACAGGACCAAGCGTGAGTCGCCCAAGCACAATTGTAGAACGGCATTTGTTTGTTAGTTTGTTTTGTTGTTTTCTTCAAAGGACATGACACCACCACTCATGAAATCATGTGTTCTGCTTGGCATACATGTTGCATGGCCCAGGTCCGCTCTCGCTGCGCCAGAGGTTGCGCCTGGCACAGGGAGCAGCAGAGGGCCTGGCGTACCTGCATGGGTTTGACACACCCATCGTTCACCGCGACATCAAGCCGGCCAACATCCTTGTGTCTGCCGACATGCAAGCCAAGGTGGCTGACTTTGGGCTGCTCAAGCGCCTCACTCACGGCGATGCTGATGCCACTCGGGTGGCCGGCACTCCGGGCTATGTGGATCCAGATTACAACCGCACCAACGTCATCACTGTCAAGAGTGACGTGTTTAGGTGCGCATGCTTGTTCCTTTGCACAACGCGATTGTGCTTTTCTGTTGTTTTTTTTTTTTGGTAAATCTTCCAGGTTATGCCCTGTATTGCTTTCTTTACCACTGTACATGCTTGTTCCTTTCCATGACACAGTGAACTTGTGCACTTTTTGTTTATCCCCTTGGCTATGTTGAGTTTGTGTACCTTGTATTGCTATCGCTACATATGTCCACTTCTTTGCACACAATGGATGATTACTTGCAGCTTTGGAATTGTGCTTCTTCAGCTGCTGAGTGGCAAGTCACCCCATGTCGACCCAAAAACACATATAAGAAAATGGGTATGCACATCAAGTATGAAACTCTCTTTTGTTATGGATGAGAGTTGGAAACTTGCATGTAAGAGAAAGGGTATGCTGATAAGATGTAGAATTCGTCTGACTTCGTTATTTTGTGGCTGAACGTTTATCCTGGACTTCCTTTTATGGTGATTTTCACTGCTTCCTTGTTGTCCTGCTGCCTTGCACCTCCCTTGCTGCTTCGCTTGCTGCTTTGCATTGCCTCACCATTCATTATCCATTCGTGTTATGTGTACGTTGCCCTCTAGGCTATGAAGCTGGTGGAGACATATGAGGTGGAGGAGCTGAGGGACAGCAAGATGCCGGCAGTAAGTGAGGAGGCCATAGTGGACTTTGCAGACCTGGCTCTGGACTGCATCAAGTCTCCCGGCACACGGCGACCCACCATGAAGGATGTGGCATACCGCCTCAGTGCCCTCATTGACAAGCACTGCCCTGACGAGGAGGATGAGTGGGAGAATGTTGTGACAGAAGAAGGGACAAGCAACCAAGGGATGCCTTCTGAGTTGTGTGGAGGTGGAGGGAGGGAGCCTGAGAGGTCTCATGGCTCACAGTCTGGTGTGATCTCATTCACGGGTACTTTCTCCATGACTGATAGCCTCAAGAGCTGGCTGCAATTGAAGCCATCCATAGGGCGTTGAGTTTGCCCATAATGGCTGCATGTTAGCTGCTTAGCACGGAGGAGCTAGAATTCGGGGTATAGGTAGGTAGTACTCTAATAAAAAAGGAACAGGTGGCTGCTCATCATGCACCAGTATGAATGGCTGGCCTGATATTGTATCAGTTGTGAGGTAGGAGACACTTTTCCATGAATCTGGGATCTGGAAGCAAGAATGGCATGAGATGAGAGTCAGCCGAGCTTTGTGTTGTACATGGGAGGCATACTACACTGAAAGACATTGGCACTTGCATTACATCGATGTGCATACTCGTTGGCTAGTACCCACGAGGCTGCCATTCACGATGGTGGATGAACAGAAACAACCTGGCGTAGATTGCAGGAAACGTGAGTGAGCAGAGCGGGGAGCCGCATAAGTCTGGAATGAAATGTATGCCAAGCCGTGTAGCAGAGGTTTGCCCCACAAGCAGCCCACAATGGCAGTGTTGCCATGCCACCATCGCTCTTGTCATCCTTATTAGTTGTCATCGTCATGTCATGTAATCATGCCCGCCACTATCAGTTGTCTTTTGAGACGTTTCAAAAACCAACTTTTGGAACGTCTCAAAAACCACCATCGCTGTTGTCAGCGTCATGCCACGTCGTCATGCCCGCCACTGTCAGTTGTCCAGCACCAGAATCTCTGCGTTGTGTCCTCTGTGAACAGACGAAGCAGCAGCACAAGGGAAGGGGAAGAGTGGGAGCAGGGCAGGGACGGGATGAAAGACAGCAGCAACAGAGCACACAGCAGCAGAGCACACAGCAGCAGAGCACACAGAAGCAGAGCACACAGCAGCAGAGCTCACAAGAGCAGAGCACACAGAAGCAGAGCACACAGCAGCAGAGCTCACAAGAGCAGAGCACACAGAAGCAGAGCACACAGCAGCAGAGCTCACAGGAGCAGAGCACACAGAGCACACAGGTCCTGCCCACATGCATGAGCAGCTTGCCATTAGACACGTTCACAACCAGCCCTGCACTACTAACAATGCATGCGTGTGCATCAGCAGGTCCCCCTCTGTGCGCCGGGGCACCCCGTCCCGATCCATGTGCTTGCTTGGCTGAGTCTTGCCTCGCCGCAACACCCGCCCACTGCCTGCGTCCTCCCCGCTGCTCCCCTCGCTTCTTCTGCCGCCCTCCCTCACTGCTGGCGTCACTGCCTGCTGTTGTGCCCTCATCCCCCTCTCCTGCCTCGTGTCAGTCCGTGAGTGTTGCGTGGGAGGTGGCAGGAAAACCAATCCCGCATCATGTTTCGCACATACTCTCATCAGTTCCTCCTCCTCCCTCTCCTCCTTCTGCTCCCTCTGCTCCTGCTGCTCTCGTGCCCGCCTCTTCTGCCTCGTGTCAGTGCGGGATCGACGCATGGGTGGCACCGCCGCTGCTTCCAATTCCAAATCTTGTTTCATGCACGCACCCTTCTGCTCCACGTGCTCCCCCTGCTCCCTTTGCTCTTTCTGCTCCCTCGCCCGCCTATCCTGCCTTGTGTCTGTGCGGGATCGTTGCATTGGAGGAGGTACAGGCGCTGGCTATGTGACTGCATGCTCTCTCGCTCCCTGCATCACCCCCATCCTCTCTCTCCCTCTCGTATCCGGCATCGCATTTGGACCCAACCCCAGCAACCCCATTCCCATGCTTAAGCTCCTTTCCATCCCTCCTCTACTCCCCACACTAAGCCCAATGCTCACCACCCCTCTTTCCAGCTCCAAACACATATCCACCCAATCCAACCCGATCCCCACTCCCAATCCAATAGTTTTCTCATAGAGCTCCTCTAGCCTCCTTGACTCCCCTCTTCCGGGCATCTTCACCATCCAAGCACCCCCCTCCTCCCACTCGCCCTCCCTCACTCTCACCTCCCTCACTCCCGTCTCCCCAGCCACTGCCAACAACTCTTGCTCTTCCTCCTCCTCCTTCCTCCTCCTCTCTCTCTCTCCAGCTGCTGTTCTAGCTCCCTCAGCCTCGCCTCCTCCTCCAAGACTGCCACGTAGCCTGGTGCCTGTAGCTGCTGAAGGGCGGGTGGTATACCACCGTGCTCGCTTTGAGGCCCACTGCTCCCTTCCCTCCACTAGCCCCGCAGCCTCTGCTGCTCTCCCTGCTCTTTCTTTCCCAGTTGCAGCAGCACCACCACCACCACCACCACCGCTATTGGCACCAACAGCGCCAGCACCATTGGCAGCCGCTGCAGCAGCAGCAGCAGCACTAGCACCACCACCGTTTGCAGCAACCGCAGCAGCGGCAGTAGCAGCAGCTGCAGAGGCAGGGCAACCCGAGGGAGGGCGGCAGGCGGGGAGATGGCGGGAGGCGGAGAGACGGCGGGAGGCGGGACAAAGAGTATGCTGCAACGCGCGAGGATGGGTGATAGGGGAGGGCTGCCGGGGATACAGAGGGCAAAGTGCAGTTCTCCGTGCGCGCGTCGTTGTTAGGACTCTGGGGGGTGGGTGGGGGTTCCACTGGTCGCGACCGCCCTCTGTTCACCCTGCTAGTCACCCCCTGCCCACTGCGCTGCCTGTGCTCTTTCGCCTGCCGCCCTTGGGGAAGCAGATGCGCAGCGAGGAACGGCGAATGCGGCGGCAAGCACGAAAGGAAGTACTAACAGATGAGGGAGTGGATGGGGAGGACTTGGGAGCGGTAGGGGGTGACTAGGATTGGTTTGAAGAGGCGGAGGAGGGCGTGTCGTGCCTTCAGAGTCAGACGGTGGCGAGCACGGCAGAAACGGAGAATGGGAGAGGCCACAAAGCTGTGAGGAAGCATCTGTCCGCCAAGCCAGCAGGGCGGCCATTGGCCACACTGCAGCGCAGACTTTCGGCGCGCAGGCAGGCAGGATAGGCGATGGCAGTAATGGCAGTACCGGCAGAGGCAGCGGCAGCAGCAGCAGAGAGGGCGAGCGACCCGTGCTGCTGGGCTGCGAGGGCTTGCGGGGGAGCAACCGCGTGCGCGCGTTCGACCCTACCAAGTACGAGATGACAGCAACAGCCGTCGCTGCAGCAGCTGCAGCAGCAACAGACGCAGCCAAAGTTGTGCCTGAGAGCAACTACGAGGTAACACCCATGCCTGGAAGCTATAGAAGTGCAGTGGAAGGCCGTCGCGGAGGGGCAGAGGGAGGGGCGACGGAAGGCTGTCACGAGGCCAAGGGCGATGACGCTGTGGTGACGTCAGCAGCACTGGGAAAGAGCCAGCCCGTGGCAGCGGCGTGGTGGCAATTTGGCGGGCCTGATAAGGTAACCAGCAGCGGCAGGAAGGGCGGCAGGCGGAAGAGCACAGGCAGCGCAGTGGGCAAGGGGGTGACTAGCAGGGAAAACAGGGGGCAGTCGCGACCAGTGGAACCCCCACCCACCCCCCAAGAGCCCTGACAACAACACACACACGGAGAACTGCACTTTGCCCTCGGTCCCCGGCAGCCCTCCCCTATCACCCGTCCTCGCGCGTTGCAGCATGCTCTTCATCCCACCTCCCGCCATCTCCCCGCCTCCCGCCATCTCCCTGCCTGCCGCCGTCTTTTGGGTTGAGAAGACAGCAATCTGCTGCTGCCGCACTGGCCTCTGCTGCCCCTTGTGTGTTGTATGCGGCTCAGAGGCAGAGTGAGAGGCAGGTTTACTTGACTGCAGGAGCAGGCAAGGAGGGCAGGGGAGCGCATGAGGAGCGCAGGCGCCCAGTGGTGGTATACCAGAAGAGCAGCAGCACTGGCAGCGGCAGCGGGGGAGGAGGCACCAGTGGCACCAGCGCCAGCAATGCCACCAGCTGCGGCAGTGGCAGTGGCAGCAGCAATATGCCGAGCAGCCAAAGTGGCAGTGCTGCTGCCCAGCCCAAGCGCATTGCCTATAGCATGACCTACCACCCTGGCGGCAACACAAAGACTAGCCTAGCCACGGCTGGGAGCAGCAGCAACAGCAGCAGCAGCGAAAGCAGCAGCAACAACAACAGCAACAGCAGTACCCACTGCCGCACCTCGCCTTCATCCTCAACTTGTCGCCCCTCTCCCCCGCTCCCTTTGTCACCACCACCACCACCAGCGTCCCTCGTCCCTCTCCTGTTGCCCCTGTTCCTCACCCGTCGCCCCTTGCTCTCACTCTCTTTCTCTGCCTCAGCTTCACCGTCAGCCTTGGCCAAGCCTAGGCCTCTGAGCCGCGCCAACTCCGCTGCCCAGGCGCTGCTGCACCCGCAGCCCATCTTGCTGGCCGGTGGGAAGCAATTCAGCACCCGCAGCCCTGCTGCTGCGGCTGCTGCTGCCGCCGCCGCTGCGGTTGCTGCAAACGGCGGTGGTGCTAGTGCTGCTGCTGCAGCAGCGGCTACCAATGGTGCTGGCGCTGTCACTGCTCCCAATAATAGTGCTGCTGCTGCAACTGGGAAAGCAAGAGAAATGAGAGCAACTGAGGCGGTAGCGACAGCAGGAGGAAAGGGAGCAATGGGCCTCAAAGTGAGCGAGGTGGTATACCACCCGCCCTTTAGCAGCTACAGGCACCAGGCTGACGTGGCAGCCCAGGAGGAGGAGGCGAGTCTGAGGGAGCTGGAGCAGCAGCTGGAGAGGGAGAGGAGGAGGAGGGAGGAGGAGGATGAGGAAGACTTGTTGGCAGTGGCTGGTGAGAGGGGAGTGAGGGAGGTGAGAGCGAGGGAGAGCGAGTGGGAGGAGGGAGGTGCTTGGATAGTGAAGATGCCCGGAAGGGGGGAGTCGAGGAGGCTGGAGGAACTCTGTGAGAAAGTGGTTGGAATGGGTGCTGCTAGGGTGGGGATGGGGTTAGATGGAGTGGAGATGTGTTTGGAGTTGGAAAGAGGGGTGGTGAGCATTAGGCCTAGTGTGGGGGGTAGAGGAGGGATGGGAAGGAGCTTGAGCATGGGAATGGGGTCGAGTCCAGAAGCGATGCCGGATGCAAGAGGGAGGGAACGGGTGGGGGTGATGCAGGGAGGGAGAGAGCATGCAGTCACATCACCAGCACCTGTACCTCCTCCCATGCGACGGTCCCGCACAGACACGAGGCAAGAGAGGCGGGAGAGGGAGCAGCAGGAGCAGATGGGTGCGTGTGTGAAATAAGATTTGGGAATGGAAGCAGTAGCGGCGCCACCCATGCGACGGTCCCGCGCTGACACAAGGCAGGAGAGGCAGGCAAGGGAGCAGCAGGAGCAGAGGGAGCAGTTGGAGCAGATGGGTGTATGTGTGAAACAGGATGTTGGACTGGTTCCCGTCCCACCTCCCATGCGACAGTCACGGACTGACACGCGGCAGGAGAGGGGGATGAGAGCAGGGCAGCAGGCAATGACACCAGCAGTGAGGGGAGGTGGCAGAAGAAGCGAAAGGTGCAGCAGAGGGGAAGTAGGCAGCGGGCGGGTGTTGCGGCGAGGCAAGATACAGCCGAGCTGGCGCTTGGAGCAACGGGAGGGGGTGGCCCGGCGGAGAGAGGGGGACCTGCTCATCCGCACGCATGCTCTGTGAGTCCCGTGGGTGAGGGGGGGGGGGGGGGGGGGGGGGGGGGTGAGGGGAGGGGTGGTTGTGATTGTGTCTCCTGGCAAGTTGCTGGAGCCTGTGTGGCAGGAGGTGTGCTCTGCTGTTGATGTCGTCTCATCCCTTCTTTGGCGCTCACTCTTTTTGTCTGTCCCTTGCACTGCTGCCGCTGCTGCTGTTGTGTGTGCAGAGGGCAAGACGCGGAGATTCTGGTGCTTGACAACTGACAGTGCTTGTGGGCACTGCGAAGAGTCACTACACAAAGGGAGTGGACTACGGTGGAGGGCACGGGGTTGTGCGGGTGATCGTACTGATGTTCTAACGTTCTTACTGCTTGCTCTGTTCACAAAGAAGTTTGGCAAGAGTTTCCACTAAGGAATTGAAAAGGAACAACTTGCAATGAAAAGTTGATAGTACAAATGAGGCATGCATAACAAAAGGACTAGAATGGCATGGAACTCCTAGCAAGGGCGAAATTTGCCACCGCAGCAGAAGAGCGGCTTGCCAACGTTGCAGCAGAGTGGTCTGCCAACGTTGCTCTGCGCGCGGTCTCCCAGCACTGCAGTCGCAGGTGACTATCTGCAGTCACACGTAACTATCTGCTATCTATCTGTGCAGATGTGCGCACCTACCAAGTTGGCGGTTTCACCGTTAGGCACATTGTGCAGGTGCCAGGTAGAAAATGTGTCGTCGATTTCGCCAGGTGCGCACTGTCGACCACGTGATGCCGTTCCGCAGGTAGAACTTCGCCAAAACCTCCTGGGCGAAAGTTCGCACGCCTCCGCGGAGTTTCGTACAACTCTGCCACTTCGGTCGATCAGCTCGACATCGCTCGGTAGAACAGCGTTCGCCAAGCAGAGCTCCTCGACCCGAACTCTTTGGCCAGAGTTCCTCGACCAGGATCGTCGACGAGAGCTCTTCGACGGGAGCTCGTCACGCAGATATTGTCGATCAAAGCTCGTCGCGCAGAGCTCGTCGACCAGATTTTGTCGAGCAGAGCCTGCTCGACCGAAACTTCTGTCGAACTGCAGGAGCCCATTTCTTCTACCAGTCCGTCGAGAACTTCCCGTCGACAGCGAGATCAGCTGCGACCAAGCGAGGGCGGGGCCTTTCTCTTCGACACTCCCCTGCCCAGCTCACGCTTGTGCACCCATACACAAGGTCCACCCAGTGTGAAATGAATGAACAGGAATGAAATGACTAAGTCAGAAATTGGTACAAATAGCAAACCCTAGCAACCTGTACCCCATATGGGCTACCCCACTATAGCCTACAAACATGCATCAGCTATAATGTTCCGACACACCCCCATAGGCAAAGTGGGGGAGAACAAGGGGTCACAAGACCAGTCAAGCAAAGCAAAACAAGCTCAGGGTGGATCACAAAGTCACCACACAGTCCGAGCAAAAGAGCAGGGCCAGAGGCCAGTTCACATGCAGGAGTACAGACATATATATAAAACTAGACAAGCAAGTGCAGGTATATATATGTCAAAGTACAAGTAAAGTCAAGAA